ACTGTAACAATATGTTCGAATAAACAGACCTGAGGCATGACCTCACCTTAACTCCAAAAAAAAAAAAAAAATGAAAACTAGAATGGTTAAATAGAGAATCTATAAGCAGGTTCTAGATATAACAACTAGTGTAAAACCTTCAGATAAACTACTTAAATTAGACAATAACTAAAATTATACAAGTGACTAGTTGTACAAGTAACTAGTTGTATATTCTTTTCATGGTTGCCCTCTGTAGTTGTAATGCAACCATTAGCCAAATGTACTATCAATAAAATCCTGGGTCGCAAGTACTCACCTTAATATTTAAAAAAACATATTATTAATATTATACTAGAAAGTTATTAAAAATAGTTGAATAAGCTTTTTAAAGACAAAATTTGCAACGTTTCAGAATAGTAACATTTCTTTAGATTAATAATATAAAAAATTTTAAAGCCAAAGAATATTTGAATAAAGAAAAAAATCGGTTGAAAGCTTTACTAATCATAAATGCAATTTTTAAATTTTATTGGTTAATTATCACATGTTCGAACCATTCAATTTCATGTGATTGACCAATCACGAGAAAGTTATCCTATAGTGACTGTACTGGGGTAGTTTGGCAAATTTAGATAGATCTGCATCAAAAAGGTAAACGCGAATTTCACCCCTTCATAACCAATAAAATGAACATTAAAGATTACGCGCTATACAAAACTGTAATGGAAGCTAAGAATTTTCCACTTCTTATTCCTTCCGATATGGATGAATTATCTTATTGTGGTTTTATTACCGTCAAGGTTACATTTCCGCTTTATGTTCAAATCATTAATTGAGAATTCTCTAACGAAATTGTGCTGTTTTATAGGGACAGGAACTAGCATTTCAAATCAAACTCGAAAATAATAGTGCTTGTCTAAAAAATGCGAAACTTTACGGTAGTCCTGAACTAAAAAGGCTTATATTTGGTCATGAAAGGGCTTTGCAGCAAGTATGCTTCCTTTTCATACTCTCGATTTGCTCGTTAAATTAAACAAATGATTGCTATTAATGAATCTTTAAAATTCACTGGTTTAATTGATAGCGTCTCGAACAATGTGCAAACTTTTCAGAGTTTTTCGTCGATCTCAAAGATTTACTTGCTGAGTACCTTGGCTTTTCGGTATCCTCTTATTACTAAAGGTCGTATGCTGCTAAATTCTGTCAAATAAAAACAGGAACCTTTAATGACCAAAGAGAAGACCGATCCTTCACCGGGTGAAAATTATTATTCTACTTTGATAAATGAGCTTAATTCGATAGGATGGGACAAATTAGAGGCATTTAATCCTTCTTTGAAAAATTTATCATTGAAGTTGAGGTATGCTGACTCGACATGCAATTTTTCGCGAATTTGCCAAAGATTAACGAAAGTAACTATTTTGGTGTCAGCGATTCATCCGGTCGTCAGCATAGTATCTTTGTGTCTTTACCGTTTTCATATCCTAAAGCCTCTCTCATCGTACACGCTGAGCTTCCAACTCCTATATCAATGGCATTAAATCACATGACAAGCCTTAAGGATGTTGTGTCTTTCTACTCTAAAGTGAGTCTTACTAAACTCGTGATTTAGGCTGTCATGCCTAAAAGCTTATCATTTTTCAGGAATTAGAAAAGTTTCAAGATGTTTGGTCAATGCTCGATGATATCGACAAACATACTTGGGTTTTGGAACCCTGCAAACCTAAACGGAGTGATTTGATGCGTAGAATCGCTTTGGGAAATCATTGCTCTTTACAAATAGAACTGGATGCTTCTTGTCCCAAAGGAGAATGTCAATATCGGTTATTCGGTACGGAAAGTTTGATATCCCCATTACGCGAGAAGATAATAAAAAATTGGAATAATTGGTTGTACATCTGATACTATTATAATAAATTAATTGGATTTTATTCTAATAATTGGTTTTTCGATGAGAATAGGAATTTAGACTTAACTATTCGGAAAAACTTTGAAAACATTCTAGAAATAACTTTTCCTTCAGCGCAAACAATTTCGACTTCGGATATCAATATAGAATGTGGAATTTGCTATTCTTATCGTCATGAAGGTTCCTTACCTGATCAATCATGTAATAATGCAAAATGTGGTCAACCTTTTCACCGTTCTTGTTTGTATGAAGTAAGTATTCTGGTAGTACTGGATATAAAGGGTTCCGGTATATATGATCTCTGTCTTATAGCAGATTTTTATAGTGGCTGCGGTCTATTCCATCAACAAAACAAAGCTTCAATACATTCTTCGGGAATTGTCCTTATTGTAACGATGTAAGTGCTGTTTTTTGGGGGGATATCTGGATGATAAATTGCTTTAAAGTTATGTTATTTGTGTAGGCCATTACCACTACCATTTGTGATCAGTGAATCGCAACTTGCTTAAAGTACAAACGTACGATTTTATCATATGACGCGAATGTCTTGTCTCTAATTGTGTTGATCTAATTTTAAATACGGACGTACTTTTAAAAAAATATTAATAAATAAAGTACGTACGTAAATAAAAGGTAATTCTACATTGACAATATCACCCAAAAGTTGTCGTGTGATAATTTGTGGCTCAAAGAAAAGTCAAAATTCTTAATTGTACACTTAAACCGTTCGGTTTAGCAAACGCCAAAATTTTTTAAGTTCTCTGATTTTTTTAAAAAAATCGCCAATAACTCGAAATTTTGTCTCTGATACTACCTTTTAATTCTAACAAAAAAAATTCCTTGCGAAATTTTGTTATAAAATAAGCCTTTCTTTGACCTTAATCCTAACCCTAATAATGCTTTAAATCTTTAGCTTAATTCAATTGGATGTTTTGATATTGGCAAAAAATCACGTGGCAGAAATTTTTGTAGGTGAGATATTAGTGTTATCAAATATCTGTTATAACAAGAAATACTTGAGTTTTTTGAGATAAATTAAATTACAGAATAAAGGAATGTACTTGATTGATATTGTTTGTATGCATTAAGATATATATATATATTTTTAAGGTGAGGTTTTGCTTTTATTTTTATTATAATTTTTTTTTATTTTATTTTTTTTTTTTTCACTATTTTGAAGGTTCTTAGACATTTTAGAATCTTTTACTTTTCTTAAAGTCAAAGTTATTATTTAGCAAAGATCAATGAATAGCTAGTAACCTTTATATTATTTAGTTTTTGTGAGCTAATACACTTTATTGTTGCATATATTAGCTGTGATGTTCTTTAGCCTTTCTGTACCATGTGAAAGTAAGTTTATCATTTTACTGATATTCTGGGTTTTTGGTTTTATGATGTAGAACATTGACAGTATTTGTAGTTCATTATCATTACAGTTTTACAATTTTCTTTTCTATTTTGTTAATGTTTTTATTATATTAGATTTTTTTTAAGTTGGGTTTACTCAATTTTGGTGTTTTTTATTAATAGATTACATTTTATTTGATTGTTTTGATCTTATAGTTATGTTACTAATTGCATTTAGATGTATAGTTTTTGTTCTTTATTACAGGATTTTCTTAATGATTATTTTTCAATTGTGGTTTTAGTTAAGCTTTGTCTCCCAATTGAATTCAAATTTGTGATCTTGCAATTGTAATCTGAGAATATTAATCATTGCATTATTGGTCTAAGAATTTTTTTATTTTAATTTGTATTAAAAATTCTTAAAGAGTTTTTTTGACCAAAGGTTAAGTTTATAAATTCTTTACAAAAATAATATTCAGATTATAAATTTATTAAGATTATTTAGTTTAATCTAATTTATTTGCAATCTAAATCTATTAAAGTAATTAAATTATATTTAGATTTTTTTTTATTATTATTGAAGTCTCTTATTTTTAAGTTGTGATTGTTTTATTCAAGTTTATAAAATATAAGTATTATTAGGGGTTTCTTTACATAAAAGGTTACAACTAGTTATACATGTACTTTTGGTATCTAATTTAAGTAGTTTACTTATATATTGTTATATAAGTTTTATATTAGATATCATACTTGCAAGCCAGCTAAAAGTTTTGGTTATTTAAACTTTCTATATATGTAATCTATCTTGTATTATAAGAATATCTTAAGATTACATCTATTCAAGTTCTTGATACTTATTGATATTTTAAAATTACTTTATTTTCAATAGGAGACTTACTAGAGCTTTTATGTTTTACACATACTGATCTAGTTTATGTAACATATTATAGTTACTTAATACTTGCAATTATAAGAATTACTTGTTTAACTGTTATATTATACTATTTCTATTCTTATAAAATTTATCTAAAACCTGATATCTATTTTTTTAACTTTTTTTCTTTACCTTTTTACTATTTAATTTAGAATTTGACAAACTTTTTGAATTTTCAATTCAGATAACTCAGTATGATATACCTTTTAGTATCCTTTTTTTCAGTAGTTTTAACAGCCTGGTTGGTCATATATTCTTCTATACATTTTGTTATTTAGTTGCATGTCTGCTTATTTCTTATTTAAGTTTTGTGAACTTTTATTAGTTTGACAGAATTGTTGAAAGTTTTGCTATCTTTTTACTCAAAAATTTCTAAATAGGATTCTGTTTCCTTAGTTTTTTAGTCTTTTACATCTAATAGTCTTATCATAAGTTTGCACTAAAGTTTTATAAAACATTAGTTATTAATAGGGTCTTTATCATCAGTTTTGGTTCAGTTTAGTTTGGATTAAACCTGAACTTAAACTGAATTTGAACAGTAAATTTTACTAATTTCAAACATGAACCTGAACTCGAACTCATAATTTCTAAACCTGAACCAGACTTGAATACTGTAATAAATTTGGTTTGAGTTTAGTTCAAAGTTTATGAACAAGTTTGAGTTTAAATATAAAATATTTAAAAAAAAGTTTTGTAGTTTAAAGTTTAACAGACTCAATTTCTAAAAACTTTTTAGAAATTAAATTCAATAAACTATAACCTATATTATTATATAAATAAAGCTTTAACTTATATACTTTTTTCTTATTTAGTCAACATACTGTATTGCATATTAAAAAGATCTAAATATATTTTATAATTATAATAACAATAAACTTATAACCTGTAGCTATCATATACATAGAGCTTTAACTTATATACTTTTTTCTTATACTGTATTACATATTAAAAAAATCAATAAGTATATTTTATAATTAGTATAACATTAATCATGATTAATTTAAATAATTTAAAAAGTAATTATTTTTAGAAAAGTTTTTACAAGTAATTATTTTGAATTGAATCAGGTTAAGTAAAAAACAAAAAAATTAGCTAATGAATAATAAGTTTTATATCTATAGAATTAAAAGAAGTTATATTATAATAACTATAATAATGTCTATGATAATGACTATAATAATGATTATAGCAATGACTATGATAATGCCTATGATAATTATCATGATAATAACTATAGCAATGATTATGATAATAATCATAGTAATAACAATAGTAATGATGCTGATGATAATTGTAGTATAACTAGTAAGTGAAATAATAGAGATGAGATGTAGAATTTTTTTAAAAAGGTTGTATGACAAAAGAAAAAAAAATAGCTAAATGTATAGTATCAAAGTTCTAATATAATGAGTTTTTTTGTAGAAAAGGAGACACTACTAGGCCACTATAGTGCTACTTAGAAAGTGCACACTAAATTTAGTATATCATAACAAAAGAATTTAATAAAAAAAAAAAGAAAGACACAAAGTGATGTAGTACTATTAAGGATGCATTTAGAAAGGTTAGCTTTAGGGTTCTAAAATACTAGGCACAATACTATTAAAACATAATACCTGATACAGGTATTATGTTTTAATAGTATCATGCTTGGCACTTTAGAACTCTAGTTAGTTCTTCCTTTTTTTATTTTATTTTATTGAATTATTATTATTAATTTTAAGTTAATCTAATTTGAAAAATATTGTATAGAATCCTAAAGACCTAACATTAGTTAATATTAATAATATAAAGCTTTGTGATATGTTTTCCATTTGGATTATTAATCATCAACACCCATTTAATATAATTGAAGATCCTGAATTAATTAAAATTATAAAATATTTGAATTCTACAATATAGTTAGTTAAAACTAATAAAATTAAAGAAGCAATAATGTCACTTTATAATTTGGAAAAAAAAGAATTAAAAGTAAGCTTACAATTATTATTTTTTTTAATTTAAATTTTTTTTTATTTTTTTTTATTTTTTTTATTTTTTTTTATTTTTTTTTATTTTTTTTTATTTTTTTTTTATTTTTTTTTTTATTTTAATTTAACCTTGGGAATTTAGAGTGCTATAATGTACAGACATCCTTTTTTATAATCATGTTGTCTGTTTTATATAAAAAAGATATAATAATAACAATGCGATTATATAAAGTTTTTTTAATAAATATTTTATTAATAATTTTTCAAAAAATGGTGCTTATAAGAAGGGCATAATTATATAGAAGATGACTGTATAAGAGGACAACTGTATTATATTAAATTTAATTGAAAAGTTTATTATATAAGTTTATATATTCAATTAATTGCTAATCTGTCTATAATCAGCACTGTTTGGTACTATTTCCATATTAGAAATTGGGATAAATTTACTATTAAATTTACTATAAAGTGGAATCTGAGATCTTTGCTAAGATAAATATTTTTTTTATTAATTAAATATTACTTTAGCGTCTAATAAAAGTTGTAGAGCATACTTTTGTGATTATAATGGTGGTAAAATCGTTAAAATTGACCTATTATATCACAAGATATCATCAAAAACCTTTTTGTGTTCATATAAAACTTCTATAAACAACATTGTTGTTTACATAGAAATTTTATATAATCAGAAAAAGTTTTTTGATGATATCTCGTACATAGTGAGTCGATTTTAACAATTTTACCACCATTAGAATCGCAAAAGTATTCTCTACAACTTTTATTAGAAGCTAAAGTAATATTTAATTAATAAAAAATTACTTATCTTAGCAAAGATCTCAGATTTCACTTTATAGTAAATTTAATAGTAAATTTACTTCAATTCTTAATATGGAAACAGTGCCGATTATAGATGGATTAGCAATTAAAGTAATTTTTTTTACAAAATCTATCAAATTATTTTTAAATTATTTATTTATTGTTATTTTTTATTTATTTATTTAAATTATTTATTTATTTATTAATTAGAGTTATTTATTTAAAATGATTTATTTATTATTTTTATTTGATTGAAGCTATTTTATTTTATTTATATTTCATATATATATATTTATTATTCACTAATATTTATAGTATTATAAACATAT